AGTAAAAAAGTTCTCCCCTTCATAGCGTCGTCCTACATAATGTTTACATATCTTACAAGAACATTCTCCAATTCCATGGAAACTGTAGTGTTTTCCCTTCTGTTCATGTTGGTGATGAAAACAGTGAAAGATATACAAGCAAACAAAGAGTCTAGAGAGACTCAGAAGGAAGAGCATGATAGGTACCAAAGGATGTCTCTAGAAGAGTTCCGAAACAAACATAATGCAAATTCAGAAGGATGTAAACATATCACAGATGTTTCCAGTATGACTTTTTTTCTGGATAGGATTTTTATCAGCTTTAAGACTATTTGTTAGACCAACTTTTGCAGCTTTTAGTGTGGGCCCCGTCTTGTGGCTGATGATAACTGTCATAATTGCTGGAGATAGTCTGATGTCATGTCTTTTTGCTATGACCTTTGGGGCATTTATTCCTTCCCTTGTAATGGTTCTTATTGACACACAATACTACAGTGGAAAAACAGCTCTAGACATCCTGTCAGGATTTAGACAGTGTGTAGTGACTTCAGAAAATGTTACTGAGTGCTGGGAGGATTTCTTCAAGCTGTTTGTTGTGACCCCCTTGAATTTTATAAAATACAACACAGATCCTAACAACCTATCCTTCCACGGACGACACCCCCTGTACACACATCTTGTGGTTAACTTACCCATTCTGTTTGGACCTTTAGTGGTGCTAATGCTTGTAGAAGTCAAAAGACTCCTTTTGAGACAGTTCCCATCCAATCGTAGTGTCCTGTTGTGTTTTGTGATGGTCACCGTCATCATTCTGTCCATGTTTCCCCATCGAGAACCTAGGTTTCTTCTCCCAGTATTACCCCTATTGATCCTCCTGTGTTCTTCCACTCTGTGCTGTGTTCCTTTCAGACAATTATTTTTCTGCCTGTGGTGTATATTTAACATCACCTGTACACTATTCTATGGAGTTTTTCACCAGGGAGGAGTTATTCCCCTTTTATCATACATAGGAAAACACATATAGGACTCTCATGCAGTGTTCACTCATAAGGACTAATAGAATCATTCATTACTACGAGTGTGGGATAGTGAAATTCCACCGAGGGGACAAGATTCACAGTCTAGGACGAGGCTTTGCCGAGTCCTAGACCCTGAATCTTGGCCCCGAGGTGGAATTTCACTATTCCCACACGAGTATGTAATGAATGATTATTTTTCTCGCATTATTTTATCCAAAATAACGGCCTGTCAATGACGTCGCCATGATGGGGCTAAAAAAATATTTTTAATTTTCAAACTAATTAAAAATCTGAATACACCATCGGAGAGAACGTACCTGAAAATTGTTTACACAAAGTGTAAACTGATAAAATAATTTTCAGTCCATGTAAATTAATCAGAAAGATAAAAACTGGGAATAAAAACTTATCTATCCAACAGCGTAAAAGAAGAATCATTCCGCGATCTAAAAATAGTGCCATTAAAAAAGTGAAAATACGACAATTTTTTGAATGAAAATAAGTTTATATTAATAAGTTAAATGACAACAGTTTACTTATGTGTTATATTTTTTTTTACATTGTTACAATTTTTTTTATATAATTATGGAATGTTTACGTTCTCGTTCGTGGCGTAGTAATACACAGTGTAAAACAAAAAAATCTCACACTGCTGTCTCACACCGGACAAGTCAATCTTACACTGGTGATTATGCGAGAACGATATTTCTTTTCTTCCATACCTACATGCCTCAAAGGTCTCTGTTGCTTAGCAACTCATCTCTAGAACAAATCACGGATCTCCAGGGCTCCTCCATGCAGAAGCTTGTAGACAGCATCAGAACACGACACAATGGTGACAGTTATGCAAAATCTTATGTGTGAAAAGAAGAAAACACTTGCTGTGGCCTTCAACTCGACATTTAGATATATCGACGTATTGTCAATTAATAATGATAATTTCCATTCCTACGTCGACACGATATATCCTGGTGAGATTGAGATAAAAGATACCACAGAGTCCGACACTTCTGCTCCATACTTGGATATTTTACTTGAAAAAGACACTTATGGTAATCTAACAACCAAGCTATATGATAAACGTGATGACTTTAACTTTTCTATCGTCAACTTCCCTTACTTATACAGAAATATACTATCATCACTTGCATACGGAGTACATATATCTCAGTTGATTCGATACGCAAGAGCATGCTCTACGTATGAACAATTTCTTAAACGAGGTAAATTATTGACAAGCAAGTTGATGAAACACAATATCAACAGTCTCGTTTTAAGTCATCATTTCGAAATTCTATGGTCGATACAGTGAACTTGTCAGCAAATACAATTTATCATTGAGTCAAATGCTGATTGACGTTTTTCATACCAATTGTTTGTCCATTATTTATACACTGAATTGACAACTGATTTTTTCCGTTATTTCCTGACCATGACAACGAGCACACGGCGGGTGTGACCGGTCGGCAGGGGATGCTCACTCCTCCATGGCACCTGATCTCACCTCTGATGTTTCAGAAGTCCTTGTTTGCTCTGCTCTTATTTTGTATATTGTTTAATGGACGTTGAGATTGAATACTGTTCGTTATTTCCATATCCTTCTCAGACTTACTATCATTATATCTTATCAAGTTAAATAGCTAACACCAGACCTGTAATTAATACAGAAACAAATAAGGGCAATGAACCATTTTATGTAAATTCTTGTTTGCCCGATATTGGGCACCCGAGTTTCTGGGAGAAAGCGTTAATTATCATATGATGTATTACATGTATGTAAATGTACCAGTATGCTCAATTTATCATATGATTCAGCAACATTTCATAATAAAATAGACACTGTCAGTAACTTTTATATGGTAAATTAGCTTACAGAGAAATCCATTGTGCATTTTTTTTTCTTTTTGTAATTATTTATAACTTTAATACTTAGCACTTACTTATATCTGTGGTTTATATGTTTTGTTTGTTATGAATTTCACCATATATTGACATCTTCATTGTTTTTGACAATACGAAAATCAATGTTTTTTGGAGGTTTTGTTTTGGTTATTTTGTTATTCTAAATTAGCATACTGTAGATCACTTAATTTTTGCGACACCTTATTTTCGCGAGATAGTCATTGACTCTTCATTAGCGAGACAAAATTTTCACGAACTGTTGTCGTTGCTCAATATAATCTTAAATAATTATATTATACGCGAGAATGAAATTTTCTCGACCATACCGTCTCGCGTTATTACGCGAAAATGAAGCTCTCGCGAATAAAAAGTGATTTACAGTATGATAAAATATAGTATTATAATTATTCTGACATGTTACATTTCTTTGAAAAGTATTTTATGAATACTTTTATATAGATACATGTAAATTAAATTTTGATTTAACTTAATGACAAAGTAATGAACAGTTTATTCAAACATAGCCAGAATTCTTACATTTTTACATGTTTCAGATTTTGGCTAGGTGAGAATGGTGCACATAAGTCTACATTAGATTAACTTGTATAGAGGCAGCTGACCATTATCATTCAATTTAATTACTTTATTGAACAATTATTTTGTACCTGTCATTTATTTTTGTTCAAGTTGCTCATATGTCAGTTATTACTAGTATGCATATTTGAATTTTGATAAACATATAACTTTACAAAGGTTTGTCCCATATTGAATATATTGAATTATATACACATTTTTTTCACATTGAAATATAACACTTTATACTCTGTGATTTTACATATCATATGTATATAAAATCTTTTTTTAAAATGTGAATTTTGAATTTAAATGTAGAATATATGGTAAATGTACAAGTGTGTACTCCTGCTGTCAAATGTTAGTGCAAATAAATTTATCAATGAACTAACACAATTATTTTATTTGCTCTGTCACACAATCATAAGATGTGTGACAGGGACTGTCAGATCATGATTTGATCCTACAAACTCTACCATCTGATCGAGCTGGTCACCAGTGATTAAACCTACCTTACCCCCAATGTCTTTATGCTGGCCCTGAGTCACAATTTTTTACCCATCAAGTTATTATTTTATTCTCATGACTTTATCTTACTTGTGTTGAGAGGTGCTTTTTCTCGAGTCTCTGCATGTAACATACAGTTAATTCTAAATGTCTTTAACTAGATGGGGTCTAGAAAAACTTAGAAATATCATTGGGACTTCAATATCCCTACAACTGTGTCGGTCAGACGGGTTCGATCTCTGGTGGCTAGATACTACATAGACTAAGTAACTCGCAGTTGTAGAGCACCTGATGGGGCCCAGGTTCAAATCATGCTGCATTCTTCTCTCTCATTACATTTGGTGTCATGACCATCGGGTGAAAGACCCTCTGACCTGGTGTAAATGCATTATTTCTCTGAAAATTTCTCCCCTCCTCCTGGGTATTAAATAAACTGACTAAGTACATCGTCATGATGAGCAAGAGTGCCTCTTTTAAATGTGTGGATTTTATGCCCCAAGGGTCAGGGGTTCTGATGTTAGGGCGGGGCTCTATTGATTATATAGTGAAAATGCATTAATTCTGTGAAAGTTATGATGAGCAAGAGTGTCTCTGCCAAAATAGTTAATTTCGTGCCCCCTGGGTCAGGGGTATCGGGTGGTGATGGGTGTGTGGGTATGTGTGTGTGTGTGGGTGGGGGGGGGGTTACATAGTCTGAAAATAAATTAATGCTTTGAAATCCGCTCTTTGGTATTAATCAACTATTTCTGGTGATATAAAATTTATGACAAAATTTCAAAAATTTTGAAATATGTGGCCCGATGGTCAGTGGTTCCTTTGGGGTTCTGAGCACGACTGGTCATAAAGTGGAAGTGCATTTTCTCTTTGTTATTCTGATCTACCTCTGGGTATAAAGTAAATAGAATAGGCATGCCTTGTTTATAATTATGATAAGCAATGGCGCCTCTTCCAAAATTGTCAATATCATTAGCAATGGTATCATATTTATTTAAGCATTCTTGTAATTATTAAACCCGTGAATCTAGTCCTCTGGATCATCTGTGCTGCGTCATGTCAAGGCTGATAACGTCATATTTGACGAAAGGCTTTCTTCTATTACTCGACACTATTAATATCAAGTATTGCAATTTCACTAGATTTTATAAATAATCAATATAATAAATGAATTCAAGTTGTTATTTATGCATGATTATGTCGTTAATTAATTTTTGTGGCTTGTTAAATTTCAATGACGTCACAATTAAACTTCCAATACGATGTACAAGGAATGTGAACTCTGACCTTCCTTAACATAGCTGAGTTTGTTTCAAATTACACACATGTATATTACTCGTAATTATTCAAGTAATTATTTCTAGCCAAAATGTAGGCTTGACGTTTAATGTTTAATTATTTTTACTTGTGATCAATAATGTAAAAATGTAAAATATGCAAATAATGCTACTGGGAAAAGAATTATTCCTTTTGCAAGAAAATGAAAGAATATTTGGTATTGTCCTAAAAATTATTCATGATACTGATCGAATCAATTAAATATTTTGTTTGTCCGGTGTTATTGTATCTGTTTACTACCTCCTTTGAAACTCTTTATTTTGGCTAATATTTTCATTATAATTATCAGTATATCAATTCATATTTTTGGTAATAATAGCTATTGTTTTGTTCTTCTATTTTCGTGTTTATTATTGTAAAATTGTAAATCTTGATAACTAGTTTATAACTACTGAGATTGTATATATCAAAGTTTTTTAGAACATGTGTCCAACCACTTTGACAGATTGTCATTAAAATACCAGGTATGTTCAAAAACAAGTCACATTTTCCTTTGGGGTAGATGTTATATGACAGTTCG